ACAAAGGACTAAAAGTTGAGCATCCTGAAAGAATTATCCGTTTTATTAACAGGCCTAGGTTTTCATGTCTTCCAGAAGGTCAAGAGGATAGGGGCTGTCTGTATCTGTTGGAGGGTAGGGTGTCCTGTAAGACAAGTATCCTGACAGACTTGTAATTTAGATGCTATTGAGATGCTATTGGTCAGTGACTTGTCTTTAATTGATGTTTTAGTAGATAAATATTATATTTTGCCTATGTGTATGGATGCATGGAGGAATGCATGTATGGGTGAAGATTACAGCACTGTATTGATTTCAATAAGAAGCTGATGGGGAAAGGAAGATAACACTTGACAGTCTGGCAGTACATTCATAAACTGGAATCAATTTTCAATCTTAAAAAAAAATGGTTAAATACAGCTAAGGCAAAGTTGGATTTTGGCAAACACTTGTCAGCCCCAGCAAGGATTCTTTTGGAGTGACTCAGCTGCCTGACAAGCTGAAAATGCATAAAGTGGCAGCTTGTAGAATTTCCCATGTTTGGTTTTTCATTTCTGTTTGAAAGAGAAAAAAAAATCCTGGCAACAAAGCGATACCCTCAGTGATGGTGCCTGATGGTTAACAGACAGCAGAAGGCAGCTTGGTACTCTGGTTTCCTTTTAATTAAACAAATGTTGGCTTGAGTCTCTAAAGACAAGCAACGGGTGCCTGGACTTTAGCCCTTGCAATTGAAATTCTCCAAAATGTCTCTGGCCCCAGATCATAATCTTTCTAGGGAACATAAGCTGGTGGAAGCAATAGTGCCACAGCAAGTGCTTCTCTTCAGACAACCAATTTGCATATCACTGTCCATCCTGCTGTTCCTCCCCCCACTTTTTTTTTTTTTTTTGTAAATGAATCCTTAAAACCTGGCTCTGTCTAGGCCCTGGGTTAGTGTGGGCAGTGCTTCTCAACCTTGGCAGCTTGAAGATGTTTGGACTTTTAACCCCCAAAATTCCTGAGCTAGCTGTAGTAGCTGCATTTGTTTGTTTTGCTTTATTTTGCCTTTCCTCTTTTGTGCTCCAGCAATTGGAAAAGTAAACTACTTCCTGCAGTGTCAGCAGCATCAGAGGAAAGAATCTACCATAGTGTTCCCGTTATTGCTGCAAGCATTAGATTGTTTACACATTTACAGGTTTAAAAGATAACAATACCCATTAACAGTATTTTTAAAAATCAGCCTAACACTTGAGGAACTTTTTTTGTCTCTGTACTTTTTAACTCTTTGCTTCTGACAGAACGGCTGAGCCAAATAGTGCAAAAACTGCACACCCCATTTTAATCTCCTTATCTTTAGGTCCAATCTGTGGCTTAGCCTTGAGTGTCACTCCAGGGATAATGAGATGGAACAATATGGATGTGTCTTGCGGAACTAAAATGATGATTTAAGAATTATTGAACTGCTATTGATGGATTTGTCATTTATTTGCTTAGATCACTGGGGAAACTTTCATATTTTATTATTTATGTTGTTTGAGAGTGTTAAAGATGTAAGCTGTTTCAAGTAAAGCTGGTTTTTGCAATTGAATGGTGGTGATTTTGTCAATGTTGATGGTGGTATTCCAGATGTTTTGGGATTGCACTCAAGGCTCCTATCACTATTGGTACTATCTATTATTATTATTATTATTAGTAGTAGTAGTAGTAGTAGTAGTAGTAGTAAATTTGCATATCCATTTCTCATAAGTGCCCAAAATAGCTTACAAACTTAAGAACAGAAGCATAGGCATTCTTATGTTTAAACAGGTTTTCTTTAAAATGTACATTGCTTGCTATACCCTTTCTTTTCTCAATTTTTAAATTAACATATAAATCTTTTTATATTTTATTTCCATACCCTGTTGGTGTTGCACTGGCAATTTCTATAAGATGTTTTTTATGTGTTAAAAGCTCTTTTATACATGAGAGAGAAATTATGTGAAGTGGGAAGCTTTTTTGTTTAGCTTTTTCCAATATATGGCTATTATATTGAAAGTAACATTTGCAAGATGAGAGCCAAGCCTTGGAATAAATACATAATATTTATCAGTTTACAGCCTCTTATCTCCTCCCTCCCCCCCTGCATTAAGAGATAAGAAAGCATTTTTTAATCAGGTTGAATGTGTTTCAAAACCAATCCCAGGAGGTTAGAAACTTCAGCAAGCAGCCATATTTTGTTTCTTTTACTCTCTTTCCTCTTCCTACACCCAAGACAGTTTATAAAGTGTCAGGAAGGAAGGGAGGGAGGGAGGGAGGAGATGGAGAGAAAGGAAGGAAGGAAGGAAGGAAGGAAGAAAGAAAGAAAGAAAGAAAGAAAGAAAGAAAGAAAGAAAGAAAGAAAGAAAGAAAGAAAGAAAAAGGTATTGAAGCTGGCTTTCAGCCTTTTCTGAAAAGACTTTCCACATATATACTACATTCTTAATATTTAATATTCAGAATCTGAAAGGAAAAAGCAAATCTTGAGCTAAGATCTTTCATTGTAATACCTGTTTTGTGCTCAGTTTTAAATATAAATGAGCAATCACCTTAAATGATACAGTACTGCTAAAGTAAATAAATTTTGGATAGCTGGGAATTGTGTAATGAAGAAACTCAAGTTCTGTTATGTTTTGGTACTCAAAAAAACTTCTTCGGTTCAGGATTATTTGACTTTGTTATTTTCTTATTATAAAAATGGATTGAGATAAAATGTGAGATAAAAGTTGGGACTAAGCTAATTTAATCCACCCCAAATGCCAAATATTCCTATTAGTGCTTACTCCAATATGCAGAAGCTTAATGGACAGATCACTTTCTGGTGGTTCTGGGGTTGATTAATGCTACAACCTCTGAAGGAAATGAGACTAAATATAATTGTAATGAAATGTGGGAATGGCCGTGAGAGACAGGATGTAGAGATACAGCCAAGGGGTCAGATAAAAGGCAGCTTAGCCCACAATAAGAATATGGGTGGACCAAGAAGTTCAGAAAAGACCTTCCCTAGATTCTTGGGCTATAAAGGGGACAGAAGGAGGGATATACTTCCAGACTTGCAAGATTATGTTCATGTAATAATCTTACAATAATATAGAATTAGCTCATCTGTTCATATTTCCTCTCTGGTCTACCTCATAAGGCTAACATCAGTTGTATGTCTCTATATGGGATCGTCTGGGAGATGCAATGGAATTCTTGACTCTGAAGCAGTAAGGGTCTGGATGGAGAGAATCAGGTTGAGACACAATCCTAGCAAACTGAGTGACTGTAGTTTTACATTAGTTCTACTACAATACCAACTTCAGCTCTGGATGGGGTTGGGCTCCCCCAGAAAGAGCTGTTATGCATTCTGGGGGTATTCCTGAACTCTCAACTCCTGGAAAAGTATGTAGAAGTTGGGTCCTGGAGGTTCTATGGTCATCTTTAGCTGGTTAGTAGTTACAACTATTCCTGTAATATATAAGGCACAGTTTTATATAGTCACTTGCGTCCTTGTCACTTAACAGTTAGACTATTTTCATTCGGACTGTTCTTGACATAAGAAATGCAAAATACAATAGTCTGCTTATTAACTATTTTGTTGTATAACATCAATATTGTGGAAGCTGCATTGGTCACCAGTTTCCAGATATTATTCATGATGCCTGTGATCACTTTTAAGAGTTCTATATTGGATTGGACATTGGCTATATTTCAGATAGTGTGCCTGCCCAGGGAATGCCTATAGAGAGTTCTGGTTGAGAGTCCTTGCACAGTCAGTTTTCTTAATGACCGAGTAGATCAGACATAAATAAATTTCAGAAGCTGGTGATCAGTGACTTCTGGCACCTCTCACTAATGGCCATGGTGGTTGAAGCTACTGAGAATAACAGTCGTATATCATTCTGAAGTATTCCAGTTGATGGGAATATTTTTGGTAACTCCCATACCTGGTGGCATCCAGTATTCTAGTACAAAACAAAATCCTGTAGACTTAAACTTTATGAAGTCCTGTTATATACAAGTAGTCCTAAACTTCATTTAGAAACCATTCAAAGTTACAACGTCCTAGGAAAAAAGTGACTTATGACCATTTTTCATGCCTACGACCATTGCAGCTTCCCCATGGGTCATATGATCAAAATTTAGATGTTTGGCAAATTTACAATGGTTGCAATGTCCTGGGGTCATATGATCACCTTTTGTGACCTTCTGACTAGCAGTCAATAGGCAAGCCAGATTCACTTAACAATCATGGTACTAATTTAACAACTGCAGTGATTCACTTAACAATTGTTGCAAGAAAAGTCATAAAATGGAAAAAAGTTAACAACTGTCTTGCTTAGTAATGGAAATTTTGGGCTTAGTTATGGTCATATGTCGAGGACCACCTATAATAATACAGTATATTGAAATAATGAAAAATAACATCACCGTTCCTGAAATATATTCATCCCTGAATTTTATAGCTACCTCTTTTTTAAATAGTTCTTTCAATGCTGAGCTTGTGCGGTCTGAAGTTTTTAAAATGGAATCTGCCTTCTGCAACTTCAGATATTTGTTTTTACTTCTAGTAGTGTTGAATCTTGCTTCTTTTCTCTTCCTTCACACAGCTTTTGTTTGGCCAGACTAAGACCTAGTACTATATGGTCTTGTCATAGTAAACCCAAAGCAAGAATGTTAGCATTTTTTTAGGTTTGAGCTTCAAGAAGTAATTTTCCTCTAATAAAAACATTTGTTGATGAACAGGTAATGTCTCAACAGTTTCATCCCCAGAATGTGGTTTTTTTTTTCCTTTTAAGTATCGGCCCACCAGAGAGAAAAAATGGCATGGCCTGTTTCTGTGTTCTTATTTCATCTATAAAAATCAGCAAATGAGCCATTTCCAGGCCTTCTGCATGACATTCAGATTGTTAGACTAAAGCAGCAGGAAAACATAGGGTCTATTTAAAACATTATCGGTCTTATTCTTGAATTAGTAGGACATTGAAAATTAAAGTATTCAGACTTATATGCATAACTCACTGTATGTATTTTTTTTCTTGCAGCTTGCAGCTAATTTATTGCAGCACTTTCAAGTAGAAGATGGCAGAAATCAGCTCACCAGCAAACATCAAGGAAAAGGTACAATTTTTAATGATCACATCATGCAGCACACAGGACATATAGAACAGTCCATTCAAACCTTAAACAATGCACACTCCTGCTTTCCATAGAAGATGAAAGAATTAGTCCATGCTCGGTGGATGTCCTTGAGCTAGCTGCCCTGCATTCTTGCTTCGACCAAGGACATTTAAATTCTGCTTCTTGATAACAAGAATGAATCTCAGTTGTTGCTATACAGTATAACAATCCCATTTCCTGTTTAGAGCTCAATGCCAGTCTCTGGTTGTCTGGATTATATGAAAAGGAAATCCTAACTTGCATATGTGCTTGATCTTAATATCATCTTATCTATTATACCAACACACATGCATGCATACACACACACACTTTATTTTAATGAGCTCAAAGTGATGTACATTATATCATCCGTTATTTAGTCCTTGCAACAACACCATCAGGTGGGTTGGGCTTCTAATGAACTCCATGTTTGATTGGGAATTTGAACCTGGGTTTTCTTGTCACAGTCCAGCATTGCAAATACTACGTTATATCAGTTGATAGATGTTGTCTTTTTACTGAAGTATTTTTTTTGTCAGTAGCTAGGACTTTTTCAGACATGCAGTTTTAATACCTTTTCTGGTTTTATATAATCAGTATTATTCCTTCATTCATCATCTTCCTCCTAGTTTAATTAAATTTATATTTATATTGTATTTTCATAGAAGTCAAGCCCACTTTCTTTTAGGGCATGTCTTAACTTTGCACCCTAGAACTTCTTTCATTGTCTCCAGGATACTTTTCCCTATTAATTAATTGCCTGTCTTGTCCTCATCATGCATTTGCTTCTCCTGTATAGTTAGATACAGGAGATGACAGGACAAAGGCATCTCTATAAAATTTTGACATAACAGAGAATGTCAGCAGATATAATTTAACATGCAAGTTAGACCCACTGAAATCCTCAATTTTACTAGTTATTAATTGATGCACAAGGTTCTTAATTTCGTTGTGAGTTACACAATGACAATAAAGATATTCCTATTCTATTCTATTCTATTCTATTCTATTCTATTCTATTCTATTCTATTCTATTCTATTCTATTCTATTCTACATATTTAAGACCTATGAGGAACAAAACGTTTGCAGCCATTAAACAAAAATAAGAATTAAGAGAATTAAAACTGCCAAAATCAAGTCAGAGCAAAAGACAACTTTCTTTTTTTTCTTTTTTTTAAATTTTATTTACTGTATTTATTTATTGGCAAAACCCAACTTTCATTAAGTTATCAAAGCTTTAACACAAATCAGTGACATTTTAAAAACATTTGGAGAGGTGTTGATGGTTGGAGAGTTAAGCAACATCAGGGCTTTTTTTCTCATAGAACGCTCAGAACGGAGTTCCGGCACCTTTTTTGGATGGAACCTTGTAGGGTAGGCAAGGCGGGTTGTATGACGTGTGTGAGTTCCGGCACCTAGAAAAAAAGCACTGAGCAACATTATACATGTAGCTGGTGGGATATTTTTATTAGCAAGTTGATTGATTGATTATGCGCTATCAAAAGTCAGTATGACTCTTAGTGACCATATAGATTTTTTCTTTAATGATCTGCCCTTCAGGTCTTCCAATATTGCACCTATTGCCGTTGTAACTGTGTCCTTCCATCTTGCCGCTGGTCATAATTCATTCCACTTTTCCCCAACATTAGAATCCTTTCTAGAGAATTAAGTCTTACATAATGTGTTGGAAGTATGGGACGCAAATGTTTTTATCATCCTCTATTCTTTGCCCATCTTCAGTGATATAGGCAGTCTTCTGCAATGACCTGGGCTAAATAGAAAGCACATCTCTGGAAATTTCCATCTTGCATATCATGTATTATCCTAGAAGAGGCATAATGATTAGACCAGTTGGATAGCCAGATGAAAGCAGACACAGGGCTTGTGGGACATTTAGTTTTGTTGAAAATGTACAGCATGAAAATGCTATTCATCAAATCTGAAATGTCAAAAGCCTATCTAGGCTGGCACAGTGCATATGACAGCTGCCCTTGTGTACCATTATCTGAAAAGCTGTTCAAAATTTAACAAACAAGCTGCAGGGTGCAAATAAACAGAAATGTCAGTGCTAATTTTCAGGTGGGAAGAGGAAAAAGTTGCTGCCAAGAAAGGGGGATGCAGCTGTAGCTTAACTGCCACATAGGAATTTATCAAACATAAAGCAAAAAGGAAGGAACCAATTTTCATATGTTCTTTCTTTCGTATCACTAGCACTAAGAGATTCTGATTATTCTATACAAATAGGCTATTGCAAGTCTGAAAGATAATTGCAAATTCCTAATACAAAAATGCAACACAAATTTGTCTTTTGATTTGTATTTTGTTTTGCATTAGTAGCCCTTTCCTTGTTTCAAAGTGTTTTTTCTCTCTTACTTGCAGATCAATGCAGTGCGTTCAGTTGTTCCCAACAAAAGCAACAATGAGATAGTGTTGGTGTTACAACAGTTTGATAACAATGTAAACAAGGCAGTACAAGCTTTTATGGATGGTCTGTATGCTTTTTGAATTTCACTGCGTCTTTAGAAACAAGCATTAATTGCTAAATATTTTTCTTTGCAAGGTGAAATAAAGGCTGTGTGCCCTGTTAAAAGGCAATATTCAACATTTCTTGAAAGGAGACTATTCTTGTTTTGTAACCTGAGAAGGCATTTATAAGCCTCACCAATAAGCCCCATCTAGAAATTATCAGCAAATTTTCATCTTCTTAATAGTAACCTCCAGGATCCAAGAAAATCCAAGAAAGAATATTTGGGGGGATGGGGGTGGGGGGAATGCCATAAAGTTGACTTAACTTTACGACTGCTTTCCTGGCAATTTAGAAAAGTCACTAAGGCAGACCCACTGAGGGAAAAAATAATTTTAATCAGAAATATATGAGATAGTACCAGACTCTGTCAGCCACAGAAACCAAACCTGTCTCTAACTATAGAGAAGCGTTCTTGATGCATCTCAGAACTGCAAGGACAGCTCTTAAAAATTTGGACACCTTCCAGAGTTTTAAACCATCAGTAGCACTCTAAAATGGGAAACTATTCTGAGCCACTGTTATTGCTTATTGTATATTCATCATTCCTTCTCTTCTCCTCTTCAGGTAGCGCACTTCAATTTCTAAAAGAATGGAATATGACTGGGAAAAAAAAGGTAGATGATTCCAAAGCTGAGTTAACTGTTTAAACTCATATCTGCATAAATTTGAGATCCAGTTTGGTCTAGTAGTTAAAGCACTACAGTAGAAAATGGGGAATCAGTGAGTCCTGCCTTAGCCATGAAAGCCACCTGGGTGACTTTGGGCCACTCACTCTCTGTCAGCCCAACTCTCCGCATAGGGTTGCTGGTGTAGAGAAAATAAGAAGAGGAAGGTGTATTGGAACTGTTCTCCATTTTAAGTTGTTTGTAAAAATAATACGGGCAGGATAATGGTAATGCTAATGGTTTCCCCTATCCAGTTGTATCCAACTCTAGGGAGCAGTACTTAGCTCCGTTTTTTAGCCGAGGGAGTTAAGGTTTTCTGAAGAGCTTCCGTGGTCATATGGTCAGCATTACTATATGCTGAGACACACGGAACGCTGTTACCTTTCCACTGAAGTGGTACCTATGTATCTACTTGCATTTGCATGTTTTCAAACTGCTAGATGGACAGGAGCTGGGGCAAATGCCAGGAGCTTATCCTGTTGTGTAGTGCTTGGGTCTTGAACCTGGGCTGCCAACTGGTAAGCTCAACACCGAGCTATTGCATCCTCAAAGGCAGGAGGTTAGATAGATAGATAGATAGATAGATAGATAGATAGATAGATAGATAGATAGATAGATAGATAGACAGACAGACAGACAGACAGACAGACAGACAGACAGACAGACAGACAGACAGACAGACAGACAGACAGACAGACAGACAGACAGACAGATCAGAGCAACTGATTTGTCGCCATAGTTTTTTGCCATTTGTTTTGTTTTTTTTAGTGAACACAGTTCCACATCTGCACACAAGAGGCTTCATAATCAATGGGCACTTTTAGTTTTAATTATTCCTTGCACTTGCCCTTAATGTACTTGCAGATTGTCCTGGATAATTTGACAGAAAAACAAAACAATTGAAGTAGCCCGCCCTATTGAAATCTTTGAATATTTATTTTTAAAAAATAAACAGTTCTTCACTGTTAAATGATCCTTGAATAATTAAAAAAGTATTTATTTATAGTAAGCATAATAAGCCTTATAACCTCCTATAACAATTATATAAAGATGGCGACCAAGCTAAAGCCAAACAAACTAATGAAAATAACTTGACAGCAGCCCAATAAAGTTAGATCTATGTTCTTACTGTGTCATATATACCCCACCTGATGCTAAGAAACTATCTCTTTTTTTGTTGTTGTTGCTATAATCCTGTTCTATCCAAACTAATACTTTAAATTGGACCCAGTTTGGAGCTCTTCACTCTTACGTGTTTGTGTGTTGGGGGGACATTTTATAGAGGTATACATATAGACACAGAGTGAAATTATGCAAGGTATAGTCAAAATGAAAGCTACTATGGTAGGATCACAATTCCACTCACTTGTCACACATAACAAGCAGCTTTGATTGATCCATTGTTGCCATCATCTTAATTTCTTTTACCATACCCTTTAAAAATCCTTGTGCGCACATATATAAAAGTTACTTTCAACAAGCAAGAGAACTCTGATGGCTCTCTTTAGATCAGAGGTCCCCAATCTTTTGGGCATAAGGGACTGGTTCTGTGGAGAGAGGTTTTTTCTGCGGACCAGAGGGTGTATGCTGCCTGCATCCCATGGATGGGGTTTTCCTTGTTTGTGCAGACCGGTTGCTGGCATGCTGCGGCCTGGTACCGGTCCATGGACAGGGGATTGGGAACCCTTGCTTTAGATCACAGATTATAGCTAGTCTTCTGACTTTTATTTATACAATTTTAACTTTGATTATTGAATAGACTCTATGGGGCATGGAGAGTTATTACTCCAACAATTGCAAAATATAACAGATAAGTATGTTCTTCAAAAAAAAATCCCCCTTTCTCCTTTTATTTACCAGTGACTGAATAAAACAGGAAAAAAAAAATTTTTAGGAGCATTAAATAGGCTATATTTTTTAAAAAAATAATTTTTATTTAAATAGCCAATGCTCAGTTGTAACTATTTGTAATTATTTTATTACCTTGTTTCCTTTACTTCATGTTTATTTTAAGGAACATGAATATAGTCCTGATAATAAAAAATGCATTTAGTACATTGAATAGAATTTGCAATTGAAAGAAAGAAATGTGGGTGGGTTTGTTTTTCTTATTGCAGCATAACCCATGTGGAGTAATATTGCTAACCTTATTTAATACAGAACAGCAAAAGGAAAAGAAGCAAATCAAAACAATATCACCGCAACAAAGATATAAAGGATAGAGGGGATGGGGCAGAAAAGGTGTCTCTGGAATCCCAAGAACTAAATGACTGCCAGCTGAATGGCTGTGCAAAAGATACTTTCCCTGGCAAATATGCCAGTGAAAAATCAAAAAATATTCATGAAGAAAAGAGCTGTGAATACAAAGACAGAAGAGAGGCAAGACCAGAAATAGCAGGTTAGTGTGTGTATGTTAGGATCAGCTTGATTTCCATCATTTTCATTCAGCCAGGATTAAAGTATTCAATATATTTTTTCACCGTTAAATGAAACTTTTGTGCACATCTTCTTTAATATTCATTGGATGTATGTCAGAACATTGTAAAGAATGTTAAGGTATTTAATATAGATGTATAGATGTATATCTACATTTTAAAAATTGTACATTTCTGTGATTATTTTCAGCTTCCATATTGATTTGAAAATGTGAATTGGCATTCATGTGTGGACTAAACCATCCTATCTTATATGATTAGTCTCACAGCTTTTGCTTCTTTCTTTTCTTCTTTTTAATCTGCTTAGAAGTGGTTTTCTTAACTATTTTCTGTACAGTATTTCATAATGTAGAACATCTGCCTCATCTTGGCACGTATATCTTTTTCTTCGCACGATTGGCTGCTGCTGCTATTCTGTCCTTGGGTACCATTTTAGTTGCTTCCTTCTTTGCTTTGGGCATTTTTGTCACTTGCCTTAATCAGCAAAGTAGCTGGAATATAATATTGCTGGCTGGAATTATTTAAAAAGGTTTTAATTAAACTTTTATTGAGAAACATGCCTTTTTAGTCACATAACATGACACTTCTTGATTGATGGCGTCTGAAGCATAGCAATCTCTCTTCAGGCAATCTGAAGAAGGCAGTTCTGCAAATAAATCCTATTCAAATAGTTTCTGCCTTATTTCGATATTTCTTTCTGTTTACCGTCCAAGATTAATATTATTATTTATTAAATTTATTTGCTGCCCATCTTGCCACAAGGCTTTTTCTGATCTTCCTTGTATATCATTTCTATTCTTTTATTTATTTGTTTTTCTAGACAAAAAAGAAGAATCCACGAAAGTGTCTGTAGAGCCAGAACAAAATAGCAGACAGCTTCCTATTCCTTTCCAATATTCACCACCACTTCAGTGCAATGTTGGTAGAACAAAAACAAAAGTACCAGCTACCACCAATAAATCATTGCATGTCCCTGCATCTCATCTTGAAGTGAAAGCAGAAGATTCAGTGCAAAAAAGAGGTAACCCAGATCATGATTCAATTCAGCTGGATAAATGTTCGTTACTGTTCCCAGTTAATATTACTGTAAATGCAACATCACCACTCATTTCAGAAGTGAATGTAAATATATTTTGCCTATCCTGTAAAAGCAAATGTACTTATTATCTATAGACCAGACATGTCAAACACAAGGCCCGGGGGCCAGATGCGGCACACAAAGTGGTTTCATGTGGCCCGTGAAGCCATCCTGGAAACAGTGAGGGAACAGCCCCCTCTGCCTTGGCTCTGGCCATCTTGTGGTGGCCATCTATGTTGAAATGCATTCAGTCTTAGCTCCATAAGCCCCCCTACCTCCCGCATGGCCTGAGAGGAACAGTGAGGCTCCTCCAGTAGACCATGCCTTGGCACTTGCCCTGGTCCCACCCCCTTCTGCCAGAGACCCTCGGATCTATTCCACTCTTGCCCAGGCCCCCACAGGCACCCTTGACGCGAACGATATAGAGCTGGCCACATCCACCCAGTAGGTCACACCCACTCCATCCACACCCACCCAGTAGGTCACACCCACCCTGGCCACATCTACTCAGTCCCCTGAGGGCAACCACAATGCTGATGTGGCCCTCAATGAAATTGAGTTTGACACCCCTGCTATAGACAAACAGTTCTGGGAGCATCTGCCTTGAGTCACAAAATCACCTTATTAGTTTATTAGATATTATAGTATAATTATTATGAATGAAAGTGAATAAACGTGTCCCAGGATAATGTTGCAGGATCCAGTCAGGGTCAGTCACCTGGGACCAGAGGTTTAGTCTTCCGAGCTTTCGGACTAGTGCTGGAGCCCCCATCTTCAGGGAACTTTTCTCTAGCAGGGTGTGTGCTTCAGATATTCTGTGTGGGATGTTTATATGGTGCCTGTTGTGTGTGGCTTTATAGATGTTGATTGAGGTGTTGATGGTTGGCTATTAAGTCATAGGCTATTGCTTCCTTGTGCTGCCAAGCCCTCCTTGTTTCCTTGGGCTGCCAAGCTCTCACCTCCTAAGTACTTGTACAAATACTTGTTGTACATACAGAATAGCCCAAAGCACACGCTCTTCTAGAGAGAAGTTCCCTGAGGGTGGACTCCAGCACAAGTCCCAAAGGTTGGAAGACTAAACCTCTGTCCTGGTGACTAACTCAGATTGGATCCCATATAATTATTATAATTAGACTCTTCCTGCAGCTTCTGCCTTTTGTACCATTTCCTACCAGCTGAAGTCACATCAGGATGATGTATTTGTAGCCTCTTTCTCCTTAACCTCCAGAATTTCTTGGTCCCTCTCAACACAGAGAAGATTAGAAGAATAAGCTGAATGAGGTTAATGCTAAATGAAATTAATGCCCAATAAGGGCAAAGAGGAAAGACAGAAGAAAAATCCCCAGAGTCTAAGGGCAGGCAAACATGCATGAGAGGAAGAGCCATTCATTGCTAGAATTAATTAAATGAAACCCTGGGTTGATATAAGGGTAGTGAATTTGTTTTAGGTAAAATAAATATTGGAATATTCAGCATGATTTTTAAATTGCAAATAAGATATTGGAAAATAGGGAGCAATTTAATCTTTTTCAATCAGAAGCAAGTAATTTTACTTCTGAAGGATCGATATCCAAAAGGGAAACATGCTATAATGGTTCTTGTATCAAATATGTAGTTTGAAAAAAACTGAAAGAAAGACAAAAATTAACATACTGGTGGACAGTAACTATTTTCTTCTATACTGTAAAAAGTCCATTTGTTCACACAGAACATTCTTTGTGATTTTTTCTTTATAACTGTAATATAAATATAAAGGTAATTTAGAGATGCAGTGTGTATGGTGTTTAATTTTTTTTT